TAAGAAAGTTTAATTAAATTTTGATTGTAACTCACTAAAACCTCATGACATGTGCAGAAAAAGATGACTGTAGCAAAAGTGATATCTAGACAACTGGTTACTCAGAATGAAGAAGTAAACTGCAGTAGGTGTTTGAAGTGCAATTTAAAAGGACATATTACCAAGAACTGCAGACAAAATAAAAATTGCTCCCAATGGATAACAGAAAAATGGAATTTTCATCCAAGATGGAGATGAATCAACCATTATAATCAACCCAGTTTGTGACACTGAAGATTCAGAATATTCCATCTGCTCCTACTGTAATAAGGAGTGCATTACTTAAAGAAACCAGTCCAGGATGCAATGGATTCATTAATGGGTAGCTTTGTAATGTGTTGATCGAAAACTGATTCCACAGCTGCAATTATTTCATCTGATCTAGTAACCAAAGCTGGAAAATTGCCATTAGAGATGAAGTAAGAGGATGGATTGATGCAAACAGCACGTGATCAATAACGTTTTGTTAGAAGAAAGTTAGAAGCTTCTCACCACAACATGATATGTGAGTAATTCATATTAGCTCTCTTATTATGTGCATGTCAAAGTGCACATGTCACAACTTTTTTAGAGTTTATTTCTAAATTTAATTAAACTAGTTTATTATCATGGTATATGAATAAACTTGGCATCAAAACATAGTTATTAAATCAAAGTTTAATATTACATAAGTTTTAAGTTCTTTATTTTATAAGGAAATATTTAAAAAGTCCCCAATCTCCCATAGTACAAGAATTGTTATATTTGCTCGCTATGTCCTCCCTCTTCTCTAATTTATTTACCAACCCCCAAGAAGTATTGAATTTAAAATAATTTACTCATTATAACACAGTTATTGCTCAAGCAAAACATTATTTTTATAGCCTTCAATCTTATTTGTTTACAGAGCCATAAATTAGAAAATTAGATCCACCCACCTGTCACATCCTGTTTCATAAATTGCCAATAGTTCTCTCTGAAATTTAATACTATATCATTTATATATCCAATGAAAAGCCAAAATTTTAATCTATCAAATGACATATTATACTACATTTTTTTCTGTACAGAGAACTGTCTATTTCTCTTCCAGTTCAAGCTTTATTCACACAAGAAACACTGATGAGCTTAAATGAATTTGTAATGCCTCTTATCACATAGTTAGAAAGCCAGAAAAATTATAAAAGAACATTGTCTATTTTTGATGTGTTAAAATTCTGTGTTCTTGGGTGGATTATTTAATTAAATAAAAAATTCTTTTTTTGCAGTAGTACCATTAGTAAAAAATTGGGTTCCCATTTCATCGACAGTCAACTGCAAAAAACAAAACAAAAATAACTCAAGTAATTACTATATTTCTTGTTTTTGATGTGTATTCTTTATTTACTATTATAAAAGCAACCAAAATGTAAAATTAGAAACTAATTAGGTTAGATTAGATGAGATAAAGAAAAATAATAGTAATAAAAAAGTTCACGAGATATGTTCACAAGCAGCATGTGTATTACGTAATTCGATAGGGTAATGCGAGCTACACATTCGCTGAGTAATTTACAACTAGTGTGGTGGGATTATTAGTTAGACATTGTTCAAAGGGAAATAAAACAATAAAAGTTAAGTAGAAATAGATGCATACTGTTACGAGCTTTAAGATATTTAGAATAAACAAATGTAGTTATATGTTACAATCTTAAGTTATTCTAGAAATAAAAAAAGGTAATTTAGATTTATTTCGTACTTTTTTTATGGTGGTTATGAGGTCGGTTAAATTGAACCACCCTGTATAGTTAGGGTAGAGAAAATAACATATAAAATATAACATTTGAAATATATTTAAGATGTTTCAGAGATTACACAAATTAAATTTGACAATTTTCAGATCAAGAAAAGTATTTCAAAGCTTGCAAAATTTTGTGAAGAATACACAAAATATATTAGAAGTTATAGTATGGAAACTAAAGGTCAAATTGGGGTCATGAACACAGGCAAACTGAATGAGCCTGTAGCAAGAGAGTTAAGTGTGAGGTTTAAACTAGCTTTGAACAGTTTCACAGTTTATGAAAAAAGAAATTCTTGTGCACTACACAAAAATTACACTAACACAGGGTAGACTTCCAGTGACACAACAAGGATAGAATCACAAGATAATGAAGACATCCAATCTTAAGTGCAACAGAGCAGAAGCCAGAAAAACCGATGTTCTCAACCAAAGGTCATTCATCATGATCATCTTTAGAAATACATCAGTGGGAGAATGAACAACTACTTAGCTCAAAAGAGGGCTTCATCAGAAGCAAGTCATATTGCTGATGAACCTAAGGTTCCTGTCAAGATTATTTTCAGAGTATCAAAAAAGATGGAGCCACCAGTGGATTCTCTCTCAACTTTTTAAAGAAAGCTCCTCCAAAGGCAAGACAGAAAGTGAAGGGGCAAGAGGTCATCCCACTTTTGTGCCATAAGCTAAGGAAAATAAAACCATCAAAAATCCTTAGTAACTTGACAGTTTGGGGACAGCAAGTGTTTCACATAATTAATGATTGTAACATTTATATTATGAATAATAATGTTGTTTATTGTTAAGACTTGTTGTATTGTTTTCTTTGTGTATGGATAGCAAAAATAAGGCATTTATGAAATATTCTGGAGAGAAGGGGAACTTTATATACCTCTCCAGAATGGATGTTCTCCAATAGCAAATGTAGATGGTAGACACTGCAAATATGAATACGTTTACACTAAAGCCTTACAGCTGGGACTATGCTTGATTGCATTAGTTTTACGTTATGTTACTAACTACACTTATCAGTTAAGCCCTTACTGATTTGAATTACATGGCTGTCACGAATTGATCTGTTACTGTCATCAGATCTGAACAAAGCATTTTTGCTTCTTTTTTTTTCTGTAGGAATTTTTTAGGAAAAAAAAAAAAGGGTTACTGGAAAGTTCAAAAGAAGAATTAATTAATCAGTAATCTGCAATATTGAACAGAAAGATCAACCTGAAAATTTATACTAATTATGAATTATATTTCATATAATATATTTCTAAATGGCTTGAAAAAATCATTACTTGTAATTCATGCAAAATTCATCTAACCCAGTGGTGAGCAACCTAAGCTAATCTGCAGGCCACACACGTGGCCCTCAAGTGCTACAAGCCCTCTTTATCAGTCATAAGCCAAAAGTGATATATACAAATAAAAATTAGTGATATATATATGAAACATATTTTAGAAGGTAACAGGATTTTTAGGTTGACAGCTAGAGAACACAGATAACCCGTGTGTTGCCTACCATTTGTCTTAGTGGTCTAACAGAAGCAATGTCCACCTTGCTGTAAGGAAATAAAATTTATTGTTGCATTCCACAAGCATACTTAACAACAGTGATTCCCAACCTTTTCTCCATCAAGAACCCCTTTTATTATCATTCCCCCCCCCATGTTTTTCAAAGATTCTGCCTACCCAACAAACTGTTTTTATTAACTAATAATTAAGTTGTTCTCCCTCTTTTCAATATCAAATTAAAGACATATATAATTGAGTGTGCAGTTAAAAAAACATCAGTATTAAAAAACTTGCTTGTTTAATGAGATGGTATTACCTATACGGACCCCAGGTTGGGAACCACTGCTTAACAAGATAACAACCAAAGTCCATCATTAAAAAGAAAGCATAAAGCTCATACATTTACTACTTTTGGAAAACAGAAGCATGCTGTAATTAGTTCTGTTTTTCATGAATGTTGATACTAAAAACACAAAATAAAATATTTCTTAACCACAATGCACAATTTTCAGAGTGTGGCTTAGTGCATGCACCACTGAATGCTGAAATATCACACCTAGTTTAATATAGCACAAACCTTCAGCAAATTCCAACACAAGACAAAATTACTGACCTATGAATAAGAAGGAATGATTAGCTCACTCTACATCTTTACATGTTTGTAAGAAGTCTTCCAAATAGTTTGGCATTTGTTTATAACTGTGTAATATGTGTTATAGTGATTTAATAAGATTTTATGCCATTCAGTTGTTTTCATCATTACAGAAAACTATAGTTTTTCATATCCTGCCAGGTTCGATGACGAAGGAACCCACTTTGAGACTAACAATGGTTGGAGACGGCTTGAATGGGTAACGAAGAAAAACTTTGATATAAGTTTAACCTAACAGCAAATGTACAACATTTTGATGATGACAAAACCTTGTCGAAACGTTGTACATTT